GGGGAAAAAAGAGGGGCATTTGTAATACTTTCAACAATAAAGATAAATATTTTAAAAATAGGCAAACACACCAATGAAAATATGAATAAAGAACATGATTTTTAAAAATAAAAAAATCATCTTGAGAAATATAACCTTAAAATTATGAAAAATATTAGTAGGTTAAATTTGACTATAAGTTTAACATCTGTGATAGAAAATATTGATTTTTGGCATAAAGGAAATAGTGTGGACTTTGTAGTCATGCAGAGTTGTGTTAGAATTCTTGTGTCTCAGCCACTCTTTGTGATGACATTGAATTATTTGTAACACTCTGGGCTTTTACTTCTTAACTGGTAAAATTAGAAAGACAGTATTTAGCTTGTATTACATATTCAGCTAAAAATTAACATTTGCCAAGATTCCAGAGGATGTCCTTTGCATATTAGGATCACTAAGTATTACTTTCCTTCCTTCCTTCGTATATTAATTACATGAACTGAAATCACACTAATAGTGTATAGATCAAAAGAGATACCAAGTACATGGATCTCTACAGTGACTAGTATATTCAGATACAAGAAACAAAAGTTAAAAACTAGGTACATTGAGGAATATACAGAAGAGGTAGGAAGTTCGAATTTTTGTGAAAACTAAGCTTAAAATAAGTAGGTATATAAGTTGGGAATGTTTCATGGGACAGAAGAAAACAATGGAGGTATGAGGAAAACTTCAGATTTTGTCAAGTTTTCTATGCAGAGGACAGGTGAGTCTATAAAAAGTATCATGATAGGAAAGGGCAATACAATCTCCGATCTCTTGGGGTTTGGTTCTGTGACAGTACTAGGACATGAAATGGACTGTCTAAGAAATGAGAAACCTTACTTGAGAGTACTCAGACATCAGCTAGAAAATTCTATTTAAGAATGGCTCTAAGATCTACTCCATTTATAATATCAGGCATTTCTATCAAAAGCTAATTCGGTCCTATGATTAAATCAAAGTGTGAATTCAAAAGCGATGAATTGATTTTATTGTACATAGATGTTAATGGTGATAGATTTTCTGTTTTGTTTTTAACAAATCTGTGAGATTCATAACTTGCTTTACAGTAAGTACTTTGTGTCTGGTTACATAGTTTTGCCTAGTATTACTAAGTTTTTTTCACTATAAATTACAAACCTTTATGTTTTCTAACATGACGTTTTAGGACCTTCCAGATGTGTTTTTCATTTGTTGCCAGATTTGGTGTGATGACCTTGGAAGAAAATTTCCACCCTAAAAAAGAGAATTCCATCCACAAAAGACAGAGATGAGGCGCACAATGGGACCAGCCAATAAATCTCAAACATCTCCTGTCACCTTCTTGCTGATGGGCATCCCAGGACTAGAGCACCTGCATGTCTGGATTGGGATTCCCTTCTGCTCCTTGTACATAGTGGCTGTGGTGGGGAATGTGACCATCCTGGCTGTGGTGAGGGCAGAGAGAAGCCTCCATGAGCCTATGTTCTTCTTTCTGTGCATGCTGTCAGTCACTGACCTGGTCCTCTCCACATCTACACTGCCCCGCATGCTCTGCCTCTTCTGGCTTGGAGCCCATGACATCGCCTTTGATGCCTGCTTGACTCAAATGTTCTTCATCCACAGCTTTACTGCAATGGAATCGGGCTTCTTTTTGGCCATGGCCATTGACCGTTATGTGGCCATTTGTCATCCACTGCGCCACAGCACCATTCTCACCCACATTCACATCGCTGTCATGGGGATCACTGTGGTGATTCGGGGCATAGCCTTCTTTTCCCCACATCCCATTCTGCTCAAACAGCTCCCCTACTGCAGGTCTCGAATCATTGCCCACACCTACTGTGAGTTTATGGCTGTGGTGAAGCTGGCGTGTGTGGACACAGGAGCCACCAAGCGTTACAGNAAATTACTTGATTAAAGTTAAAGTGTAATTATTTATTTAAACCTAAACATTTTTTAAAAGCCATCTTTGCTCAGCTACTTTATTCCAGGGAAACTCTGCCATGAGAATTGACTGTTCATTGGAACTATGGGAGGAGGTATAAAGAAATCTGTTTTAGTCAATAGCTAATTTTTCAGACATCATTAGGTCAATTTACCAATCCAAAAAATAGACTGCTGTGCCTGGTTTAGAATGTGTTTCTGGATCAACAGCTGAAGGAACACAGTTAGGATTCATCTGCACAGTGAAAGTATCTGTCTAAAAATAAAATAAAGATGAGAAGGTAGTGAGTGGGGTTAATGTTAAGAAATACATTATCCCAAAATATATATAGCGATTGGTTGAAAAGAGCATACTATATGCCTTCTTAAAGGGAATGTGATAGAAGGAAGTAATGGGAAAAGAAAACCAGAGTATTTTGTTCGGCAGTCACAGATGCAGAAGGGCGAATGAAAGACTAAGGGTATATATTGAGTTAATCATATTTCAAAAGCTATGCCACAGACGACAATGTCATGTTCAGAGAGAGAGGGACAGAGGCCATTTATTTCTATTTCTACTTAATGGCCTTTTAAATAATGCCCTGAAATTTTCACAAAGCCTCTGCTTTGATCACTTCCAGTTATGGGAAATTCACTCATGTGAGAGAAGTACTACATGAGAACTCAAAGGGGAAGCCTAATAACTGCTCGACAAGTGTTTGTTGAATTAAGTACAAGTAGACTGCAGATGGCAACTGTTACTGGAAATGAAGGGGCAAAGTGACTAATAGGTTCTGAAATAATATGAAGTGATATAAGTATAATCTTTCTGTATTTCTAAAAACAGTTATTTGGTATGTTATTACTAATTTTATTAATCTGGTTCTAATAAGTTTAAATACTCCAAATTATGAATTTGAATGTTTTAACATTATTAATGGCCCTTCTGAACAAAATCTCTATATTTTTTAGCATCTGGTTGTGATCATCTTGGCAAAGAAATTTTATCTTCAGAAGTACTTACAAAAGTCTAAGGAAAAATCATCATGCCTCTTCTCAATACTTCTCATCCCTCTCCTGTCACCTTCTTGCTGATGGGCATCCCAGGACTAGAGCACCTGCATGTCTGGATTGGGATTCCCTTCTGCTCCTTGTACATAGTGGCTGTGGTGGGGAATGTGACCATCCTGGCTGTGGTGAGGGCAGAGAGAAGCCTCCATGAGCCTATGTTCTTCTTTCTGTGCATGCTGTCAGTCACTGACCTGGTCCTCTCCACATCTACACTGCCCCGCATGCTCTGCCTCTTCTGGCTTGGAGCCCATGACATCGCCTTTGATGCCTGCTTGACTCAAATGTTCTTCATCCACAGCTTTACTGCAATGGAATCGGGCTTCTTTTTGGCCATGGCCATTGACCGTTATGTGGCCATTTGTCATCCACTGCGCCACAGCACCATTCTCACCCACATTCACATCGCTGTCATGGGGATCACTGTGGTGATTCGGGGCATAGCCTTCTTTTCCCCACATCCCATTCTGCTCAAACAGCTCCCCTACTGCAGGTCTCGAATCATTGCCCACACCTACTGTGAGTTTATGGCTGTGGTGAAGCTGGCGTGTGTGGACACAGGAGCCACCAAGCGTTACAGCCTCAGTGTGGCCTCTGTCATTGGTTCCTGTGACGGCTTTTTCATTGCTGTCTCCTACGTTCTCATCCTCCGGGCAGTCTTTCGTCTTCCATCACGAGAAGCAAGTCTGAAAGCTCTAGGCACGTGTGGCTCTCATTGTCTGCGTCATCCTAGTTTTCTACTCCACAGCTGTCTTTACCTTCCTCACTCACCGTTTTGGCCACAATGTGGCCCCCCAGATCCATATCTTTATTGCCAACATGTATCTTCTCATTCCACCTTTTCTTAACCCCATTGTGTATGGTGTTAGGACTAAGAAAATTCGAGATTATGTCCTTAGTTTTCTAAGGGTAAAGGTTGCCTGATTTTGCTGAAATTGTTTGCAGAGATGGTATCAGAATGGGAAAGGAAGAGTGAAAATAAATTATTTATTCCTCATAACAGACATGACATTTTCTCCTGCTGACATCAGGTATTTTACCAGATTTCAATGGGGAAGAGTGATCACACATTATAGAAATTTCTCAATTCTAAGGAAACTAGTAGGCATATTGTATTTTGTGTGCACCTGAATTTTAGGGAGCTTACTTAAACCTTAATAAATTTGAAAGGGACCCCCCTTCTGCTCTCTGTTGCTACTGATTTTCTGTTGTGTGAGTGTAGTATATTTCCTAATAAGTAGTGATTAATAAAGCGAAGAAACTCATAAGAATGTAAAAAATTCCATAGGAAGTATCTGCAACTTAAAAATTAATGATCACTCAATATTCTATAGAAGAGTCAATATAACAAGATTCATGCTTTGTACAAGAAATACTTGACTATTATTTTCATGAGAATAGGCACACAGAAGTTGTTAAGCAGAAATATGGCAAATTTCTACATTGCAATAATCTTGTCCACAGATTACTGTATGAAAGTAAAGCTTTATGAATTACCTTTCTGCTGTTTCTCTTGTCGTTCTTATACAACTGTTGCACTCTCTGTTCTATTCATGAAGACTCCCACCTTCATTCAAATAATAAGAATCTTTATATCTTCATGGTTTTACTTAGAATGCTTCTCTCTCTGCTCAGACACTTTCTTACCTACAAAGACTTTAGTTACCCTTTAAGGTACAGCACCTATTTAAACTCTCCCACCTTATCAGAAAGTTTATTTCAAGTAAAACTCATTAAAAACTGTCCCTACCATTATTGTAAAATGATGTCATTATATATTGTAGTGACATTAATATGACTTTTCCCAATTAAATTTTTATTATAGTTAGAGGTTAAGTGCACTGGTTCTAAAGTCAGAGTGCCTGGATTCATCATTTATCTCTGACATTTACTATCTTTGTATATTCAGGCATTTTCTGGGCCTTGTTGTCATAATCAATAAAATGAGGGTCATAATGTTTCCTTCCCTGTAGAATTTTAAGGATTAAATGAGTGAAAGCATATAAGAAAGGTACTTATTATAGTGCCACACAGTAAGCTTTTAATAAATAAACATTACCTAAGGATTATCATAACATAATTATCATAATTTTGTGTATTTATTATATGCCAGACTTTGTGAGACACATGTGTGTGCAATGTACGACACATATATGCATATATTATCACCATAGTCACCCGAGTGTTAGTATGATTGTACAGATGAGAAATTTGGACTCAGAGATTAAATAATTTGCTCAGTGTCACATATTGATTAAGTGGTGCCATGCCACCTCGATTTAAATAAACACAAAAGTACTCAATCCTATGCTTAAAGACTATCCTTTATTTACTTTTTTCACTCTCAGTGTCCTATGAACACGTGTTCAATGAATGCTTCTAAAGCAGCGAATGGAGCTATAAGATGATTGAATTTATGACATCATATATTTTAGAACTCCTGATCATGTGATAGTCATAATTAAGGTACCTGAATTAAAACCATTAGGCTATAATTAATGATCTTTTTTATAAGATAATGGAAAAAATGACAATGCCAGTAAGAGTAAAGAGAAGAGAGTCCCTAGGAAAATGGAAACTTTGAGACTATTGCCATAATGTTGGGTATTTCCTGAAGATGAATTGCCAAGATTGGACCTTCTAGCTATAGTTTCTTTTTATTTGGAGTACCATGAATTATGGAGTTTAATTATAATATATTCCCTGACAATTATCAAGATTGTTTATATGTTAGGTTTAGAAATGTGAACTAAGGAGGTAGCACTTACAAGCTATCTACCCATGGATCTCAAATTTGAAAGGTTTAACAAAGATAACAACCACAAAACTAAATATTCAAAAATCCTGAATTAAATTCCAGTCAAATAAAAGAGATATGCAACTTATTCATGTATTCATACAACAAAACATGATTTATGGGCTGGCTAAAATGTGCCCAGTTGTGCTGGATTCTGAAGAGGAGTGAACAAAGGGAACTCCACATCTTGGGAAGTTTATATTCTCATAGAAGTGACATAATCAAATGATGCCCAAATGCATAAATATACTGGATATTAAGTGCTGTCAAGTAATAATACAGATTTCTATAAGGGCACATAACTTGGGTTTTGATCTAGTCTCAGAGAATTAAGAAAAGCTTCCTTAAAAATGTCATTTATTTGAGTGCTGATTGGGAGTTAACTAGCTGAAGAAAGAAGAGAGGTCATGAAATGGGGTTGTGATGTTACAAGGAGAGAGAACAGGATGTGTGAACATTGTGGATCTTAAGATAGGAAGGGTGCCATGCATTCAAAGAACTAAAGGAAGCCCATTTCACTGGCTGGAGTAGAGGGTGAAATAAAAAGTTGCTGAGTAAGGCTGGGATGGTAGCATACAGGGGTGTGTAGGGCATGCTAAGGATTTTCAATTTTATCTTAAAACTGGAGGAAGACAATGTAAGTTTTATGCACAGGAGTGACATAATCAGGTTTGTGTTTTAAAAAGATCATTGTGGGCTTCCAGTCCAAGCTGGTGGCATAGGAAGACCCTGACAGCACCTCCTCCCAGGAACGCAATGAATTTACACCTATAAACAGAGCAATTCCTCCTGAACTGAAGGCTGAATGGACAGCTTCTGCAAAACAAGAGGGAGGGAGGGAGGGAGAGAGAGAGAGAGAGAGAGAGAGAACACACTGAAACAGGTCTCCTGCTCCAGCTCAAGCTTCCAGACACCAGACTATCCCTTGGGACTCTCCTCAGCTTGCACCCACCCTAGCACAGCTCCAGCCTAGGTGTGGCTTGTCCCTAGGACTTCCTGCAGACCGCACCTGCTTCAGCTACAGCCCAGGGGCTTACCTCTGGAAATTCCTACAGCTCCACCCCCCTCCAACTTCAGCTCAAGGTCTCACCGTGACTTGCTTGCCCCTGGGGCAACTGAAACTCAGTCTC